TTATAACCGAGAAATAGATTAATTCTGCGATGAATAAGTATCCTAATTTCATATGTGCTACGAAAAAGTTGGTTGTTTCTACACACAGAAAAATGCATATTACATTCAAGTAAATTACAATTACTTGTTTCAAGTATTTCACAAGTTTATATATCCGCAAATTTATCATATAAGCATTACAAATTTATCGGAAACACATTTTATCAATCGTAACAAGTTTGGCACTTTAATCAGGAATATTAAATAAAAATAAAAATTCGGTTTGCTTATTACATAGTCACGAACCAAATTTTCTTTAATAAAATATTATAATATTCAGGTAAAGAAAAAAAAAAATATATATATAAATTCTTTTTTTGAGTCTATATAATGTGTTTTTTTGGAATTTATAAAATATATTTTAAGACTATTATCAAGAAAATATACCGAGAAAAAAGTACTTGAAAATGCATTTGTGGAATATAAGGTTTATTTCTGCGAGATAAAATTGATTTCTCTGAAATAAAGTTTATTTCTGTAAATATACTTTATATCCTATAAGTAAATTTTCAAATGGTTTTTTCTCAGTGTACTAGAAACATAGTAGAATGGAAAGAAATTTATGTGAAGGAAACTATAATATATTTTTTCCATGCGTGCTTTCCTTTCGATGCTTCGTTTACTACCTGCAGTTTGATTACACCGTTAGGCACTATCGTTACCTGCGGACGCTGGTTTACATTCACGTTATAGTTGCCTTAAACTGTGTAGATCCTGTCACTTTGAAACTTGAAGGGATAAGTGGAAGTATTCCCATGTAATTGCGCAACACTGCATTTTGTCGGAGACGCTTATGAGTGCATCAGACGACACTTATTTCGGTTTTCACGGCATTTTAACCGCTAATTTTAAACCCGACGGAATTTTTAACACGTCGCGCCTTGCGGACGACGTGAACACGCGGATGGATAAGCGTGCCGTCGCAGACTCGCGAATATTCCGCGGCGGCAGACGGGATTTAATGGAATCGGTTTAATACGCGCGTGCGAGAGCGCAACAACGGCGCGTCGATTGGCGTTCTCGGACGTTTGTGTACACTACCTGTCAATAAGTCGCACAATAGAATCATCGTGCATTTCTACTCGTTTCAACTGAATTCAATTCGTCCTTCAAAACGCCGGGAGAAGCGTGCGGACATGCGGTTATCCGACTCTCAGCCTTGGTAAATGATGCATTGAAAAAGAATGTTTAGTAGTTGTAACTATAGTCACACAGAGAAATGATTATTATAAATTATGGTAAAATATCTTTTTATTAAATTCTACTATAATATATTTTAATAAAAATTTGATAATTAATGATAATAATCTTATACATGCATGTCACTACTACTATATTTTATTGCAAAAAATATGGTTGAAGCCAAAAATAACTTTAATCTAAGCAAAAATCTAATTTTAGATAGTTCAACAGTTTTTTTCTCTCAGTGTGCACGCGACATATCGCGTATACGTTTATTAAATGTGTGATCCAATTCGCGCGTGCTGTCGCGGGTCTACGTGACTTCGCATATAACGACTTGTACTCGAACCTGTTCGCGAATAAGTGTTATCTTTTAACGCGTTCGCGTTAAATCCTATATATTATAAAATTCATACGTTTTAATATTTGATAATTTTCCTTACATAAATCTTCAAGTTTTATCTGAAAATCTCTTAATTTTTTTCTAACAAGGAAACCCACACAAGTGTCCGCCTCTGATTTTCATGAACTTGTAATATGTTGTATTTTAGATCAAAATAACAGATACGTTTTTTATTATATGTGCCTTTTTGCAAGTTTAGGAGGATGAAATAAAATAGAAGAAAATCGGTTTTTTTTTCATTCGAAGACAATATAATAAAAACTATAAGAGATAGAAAAAAATATTTTGAATAAAAGTTAAATGGTTTGAGGAGTACTTCACAGAAATTATTTGAAAAAAAATTTTTTGTTAATATTTCCTCCACTACTTCTTATTATTAAATTGTTAAAATAATTTCTGTAGTACAACATATTACAAGTTTATGGAAATCGGAGGCGGACACTTGTGTGTGTTTCCTTGTAAATAGAATAAATTTTCTTTAAATAAATAAATTCCCGAATTGTTACATTGTTACTTTTTTCGCTTGAGAAAAAAAAGTAATTTTCTTCTTGATTACGTAAATTACGATTACGAAAATTACAATTACGAAAACTCGCTTTTCACGGCGTATATCGTTCTTGACTTCTTTCGTTACTTTATCGGCGAGGCGTGGGCTATCGTTCGCGCCAGTTGCAACCGCGACTGCATCTAATTACATGCGGCGAGCTGACAAGGTTTCGAGGGAAACTGCACTTCACTCCACGGATGATTCATTCGCGCGCGGCCTATCCGTCGCAAATGATGAATGATTGTTCCGCCGTGCTGTTTCCCTCCCGTATAGTTCTCTTTCCTCATAGTCCTTCACATTCATATTTAGGTGCGCTGTGTCGCAATAACAAAGGAAAGAGCGTTCGTCAGAGCGCGATGAAAAAAATAACAGCGGCGCGATAAGGTCCGCGTAGGCATTTCCGATACGTTCGTCAGCCTTGGACAAAATTTCATCGAGTTCGCGGTGATTCATCGCCGGCGCTCGTTACTCCAGGAAATTACGTGGTGTATCGCCGAGAGTCGATAAGAATTTACGCGGCGTAGCGCGCGCGAAACGCGGTGCAACCGCACCGAGACGCGCGGCCGCGGCGGTCCATTAGAAATAAAATATTCGTAAGCCGGCTCTCTCAATACGCGTCAGTAACAAACTGTACCAACCGGAAGCCGAGTGTATTGCACTTTCGCGAGTTCACTCGGAATAAATGGAGCAGGCGTGCCGACCAAGTGAACGCTCAAAACCGACCGCGCTCTCGCATTTATCGTCCCGTTAAATTGATCGAATTCTCCTCGTCGTGATCCTTGCGAAATTTCCTCCAACGTGTTCTACACGTTCTCCCGACGTTATCGTATCTCGCTTTACCAAGTGAGATAAAAGCACCAACGCCCCTAATAACACTGATACCTATCTCCGAACATTCTTATTTTGGTTTTTAAATACACGAAGAGAAAAGAAATCTCAGTTCGTGCAAATGAATAAGGACTAGTTCGCCGACGAGAAATGAGAATTTCTGTGACTGAAATCGAAAATACTGTTCTACATGATATGCAGCTATATTAAAATTTGGCTGCAATAATTGTGAGAACAACTCCGATTGCGTAGAATCTTTTTATTCCTATAAACGAGTTTTTAATCTGGTCTTTATTCTTACCAGGCAAAATTCAGTTACACTAACGGAATTGTTTCTTCTTTTTTGCGCGAATATTTAAGCTTTCAACGTAGATTACACGTGTATATTCTATATTGTAAGTTTAAATATCCTTATTTAAAGACCAAAACAATAAAAATATTCAGGATTAGGTACATTAAGAGAAGAAAATGGTTGATCTAACCAAAATCATAGTTATTTTTTATCCTAACTATATTTTTTGACTGTTCTAACATGAAAATGGTGAATATAGCATATGCTATTATTACACATAAGGCTATTATTACAAATATTATAGTAAAATAAAAAAAAATAGTTCTCTCTCTCTCTTTTGACAATTTATAAAATAAAATAAAATAGTTCTCTTGATGACAATTTATAAAAATTATTTTTCTGTGTGATCATAGATACAAGTGCCAAATATTCTCTTCTCAGTATAGCAGTGTTATTAATGTCCGGACATTGGTACCTGTCCCGCATCGAATTTTCGGGTACATCGAGCGTGTACAGTCGTGGGTCACGTCGGCACGCAAATTGTCGTTTTTTTTTTCGCTTCGACGAAATTCGTCGGCATTATCCAGCCGAAATGGACGGACGAACGCACGCCATGAACTTTCGGCTGAGAGAGACGCGACAGCCGTAAATATTTCCCAATGTCGATGACTAACGTCGCGCCGGCGAGGAGGTGCCGTCGCGCGTTGCGTGCGACGCCAGGCATCGGTCTAGGCGTCGCGGCGCCTTCGTACCCTCCTGTCAGGTGGGTCGGTTGTTAGGTTGGTGGGTAGGTAAGCAGGTAGGCAGGCAGACGGGGAGGCAGGTAAAACTACACGTGTATTTATGCGAGCCGTGAGCTCGTTGCTATGTGAGGCGTTCTATTCCAGTCCCCCTTGTCACTCTCCGCCGGCGCGTAAGTGAACGCCGCTTTCACGTGCGTGCCCGTGAAAACGTAGAATTTTATAATTGAAAGCTGGTGCCCGCTACCACTCCCCTCTCGGCGTTATTACGGCTCTAGGTTTCGCCGAAAATCACCATCGGCTATGGCCGCGGCCGGCCGTCCATCCATCCGTCCGTCCGTCCGTCCGTTCGTTCGTTCGTTCGTTCGTTCGTTCGTTCGTTCGTTCGTTCGTTCGTTCGTCCCGTGAGATTGAGATCAAACCCTCGGCGGGACGGCGAGATCGGGAATGGTAATTTTCGAGCGGTGCAACCTCACGTCGTTGTTAGGCTGATGACGGTTAATGACAGCCGTTATCACGCGAAATCGTTAACAGTGGCTAATAAACGCGAGCAGGGTGTCGAAGTTCAAAGCGCATCGATGACGATGCTCCACGATAATTCGACGTGTTCTCGACTCTTGTTAAAATCATTCCAAAGTCGTTCTTTAGATCCTGTAAACCTCGCTAAAGTCGGCTAAAGTCACCACTTTGTGTCTTTAGACGTGCATTTCGGCACGTGTCGATAGTCGTTACCTGAAATTGGTCTCACGTGCGAGATGCTCAGGTCGGAATTTAAAGTCAGATTGTTTTAGTTGAGTCACATTACATTATGCTGGTAATCGTGGGATCCAACTGAAATATTCACGTATAACACGAAAATCAAATCTGACTGTCTCACTCAAGGCAAGTTTCAAGTAACGACTATTAATGTGGACCTTGTGTTCTTAATCGTCAGTGTTTAACGGAGATGTCTTGTTTCGTTCGTTGCAGTGGCTTGAACTTCCAAGATCTGATGGCCAGGCAAGGGGCGATTGATTCGCCCCCCAAAACTCCCTTCATCATGGGTTCTGAGTGCGCGGGTGACATCGAGCAAGTCGGCGAGGGAGTCGAGAACTTCAAAGTGAGTATAACTTTTAATGAATCTGATTACGAGCGTGCAAACTTAAATTGTAAACAAGTTTGCTGCTCCAAGTTCCGTGTATTCGGAATCTTATTATAAGACATAAACTGTATCGACAAGCTGCGTTGTGAACCTGCACACAGATACACACACACATACACACACACACATACACATACACACACACATTATTTTTTTGTGTTCTTTATTGGAAAGTAAACGAGATCGATGGTTGCTTTATAAGTCATTTCTAATGTCGCGACGACTAGTTATCAAGCAGTAATTTCCACATGATAGTAGATTTATTTACGCCTGGAACTTAGCTTCTGTGGAAATACGTGTAATCGAATTACACGGCATCTTCCCCCCCACAATCTCAATCGAGTAAAATTTCCTATGAGCTGGGTAAAAGCTGGTGGGTAGATCCCTCTCTCTCTCTCTCTCTCTCTCTCTCTCTCTCTCTCTCTCTCTTCCTCTGTCCGGCGAATGCTGGTAACGCGCTAATCCAATTCACTCGGGACGATGGAGCCGCTTTTCGCGTATTAAAATAGTGGTAGCCCCTAGTATCGATTTTCAGCTTTAACATCACTCAGCTCAACGCTGAATTATTTCGAAAGCTCTCGAAACACGTTTCCACGACCGTATTAGTAGTACCGTCGATAAAGCGCCGTGACATCGCCCTCCTTACTTCTTTCAATCGCGGTCGCTCCGGTTTATTAAATGTCTTCGTGTCAGGAGGAAAATTAGTGTTCTTGTTTTGCCACGCATGATTAAGCGAGGCCGCTCGCTCGCGTTATCGTATTTATTAACACGTTCGCATTACGCCTGAGGGGAGAAGGAAAGAAGATTCAGGATCCTCTCGCTGCAAAATAGCTCTAGTACAAAATAAGAGGAATTTACTTGAGTCGCACGTCTCACCGGCCGGCGCCGCGTTACACTTAGGGTGGTCTATTTTCGCGACCCGCGAAACTCTTTTCGAAGTCAGAAAGAGGCAGGCGAAACTCTCGAAGCGTTTAGGGTCAGATATCCAAGCAACACGTGCAAATGATCTGTCTCGTTAGAAAGAGAAAGAGAGGAAAAGAGAGAGAGAGAAAGTGAGGTAGAAGGGAAAAAAGACTCTCCCTTCGGGCCAAAGGAAATGGCAACTCGCCTTGCCCTTGCCCCAATTGCCAAGACGAATGTGTTGCGGAGGAAAGAGCCTAATTTGATAAAGAAGATTACCGTCTTCCGGAGAACGAAGTGTAAAATCGCTTAACCTTTTACTCGCCTGATACCGCAATCTTATCTGGAGATATTCCCTGAAAATATCGTATTTTACACAAAAAAGAAAAGAGACAAAAAAGAGGAAAAGAGCCAGAAACCATCGGTGCGCGGAAGAAACAACTTCGTTAGTTTAACTGAATTTTCTGTTACTTCTGGAGACTCGCGGATGAAAGACTCGGTTGTAGAAACGGAAAGATTCCCGTAAGAGGTTTCTACTCAGCCAATTGCTGTCAGTTACCTCAATCGAGCTTCAACGCGGCTGAACGTTCAGAGACGAATTGTTCTCGGTCGCAGTAACCAGAGATATTAATTTTCCGTCAGTAAGTTCTTTCGTAAGTCCATTCAGTCGCACTGAAACTTTTTTGTCTGTGTACACGTGGAAAATTCGCGTTCTCGAGTTAAAGGTTATTTTCCACTTCGTAACGCGTTATAAAATGCCACTCTTCTTCATTACTGTTTTCTTTTTTCTTCTTTTTTTTTTAACAGGTGGGAGACAGGGTGGTCGCCCTTCCCGATCATAAAGCGTGGGCGGAGCTCGTGGCTGTACCGGCGACGTCCGTGTTCGCGTTACCACCTGGGATGAGCTACCTCGACGCGGCCGCCATCATCATGAACTACACCGTGGCTTACATTCTGCTCTTCGAGCTGGCCAATCTCACGCCTGGCAAGAGCCTGCTGCTTCACAGCTCCGGCGGTGGTGTGGTAAGTCGGCAGAATTGTTTCTTTCTTATTTGCGTTTCCGTCAGAGAGGAGAATACGCGATATGCGCGCGCATACAATATCGCTCTCTCCGGAGATGATGAATTGGACCTTTTAATTACACCCTCGCCCTCGCCCTTGTATCCTTTGTATTGCGAGAGACTCGACGTGTTGCGACACGCTTATGAATGTATCGTGATCGTTACGTTCGATTATGCACGCTGCGGTGTTGTTTTCCTCTCCTTTGTTTTTATAATTGTCTTTGTAACAAACGAGCGAGTGCACTTCGGTGCCAAAGATAATGTCATTACGCGCGATCGCGCGTGATTCATTGGGCCCTTTAATTGTGCTCTCTCTTTAGCTCATTATCATGGAGAACTGCCCGTGCATTTTGATGTGTATGCGTAATATTGTAATTATTATCTTCAACCATGCGTGATGTTGGTCTCGCAGCCGTATTAACAGTCGCTTGTGTTAAACGCGCGATATCATTATCCTCGCGTGTATCAATTAATTTCGTTGTGCGTTGTGATTGTATTAATTTTTATGGCACAATGATCGGCAATATGGTCTCGGATTCTGCGATCGGTTTGTTGTTCACGACGCGGCCGATAAAGCACTTTCAACACTGGGAAAGTGTTTAACCACCGGTAACGCGCCCTCATAAGTTTCGACGGCTCTACCATGTGCATAAACGCGTTAATGTCTCGAAAAGATGTGCCGCTCGTAAAGGCGAAGCGAGCGTCTTCGAGGCGCCTCACGACGGCGTTTTTCGAGCCCGATAAATAGCGGTATTACGATCACGGCGTTAGAATCGTCGAGTAACGAGCGGTATTAGCATTGTGCTTATACACCGCTTAGAGAACCGTTTTATGGGAAACCGCACGGAGATGTACGTGCGCTCATAAGTAGCGAAGTACCCGCGACGTTTTTCCGCAAAGCCCGTTACGCCTACGTTTTAGCGCGTGGCTAACGGGGATTTGTCTCTAACGACGCGGTGTCAAGCAGAGGGAAAGAGAGAGGGAGAGAGAGAAAGCATTACTTATTGCACTCCTCAAGCTGAGTGACAAACAAATGTCACATAAATATGAAATATATGCGTATACAGAAACGAAAAACGTATCGAATCCAATGTAAACAGAAAGAAGGAAGAAGAAGCAATTATTGAAACGCCGTTGAAAACAGACTTCTAATATCTTTCAGAGAAAAAGAGAGAGAAAGAGAGAACGGGTAGAGCTCAGCACGAGAGGGTTTCACCCTAAATAAAATCTCGCGAAGTAAATATTTGAGCGCTCCTCCCTCCGAAATGCGCACCGAAATAAAATCGCGTGCCGTATGTGTTCGCGGCCTGTTACTGAAAATAAAATTTGCCGGGCGTGTTTGTCTACTCGTCGGAGACCAGCTTAAATCCGTCCAACGGGGCGTCGAGACATTAGATATCTATGGGGTGCGAATGTTGAAATTTCATAAAAGCGACGACGCGGATCAACGGCGAGAGGTGGAAGGACGATGCGGAGGACGTGGTCTCGAGAAGGTTAAAGCACCAAAGGAGATATTTCCGGGTGCTTTGACTATGAGGGTGGTTTCTCTGTCGACTAGTCGGCGGACGACGACGAGGAGGAGGAGGCGAAGGAGAAAGAGGAGAAGAAGAAGAAGGTAGAACCGTCGGGATCAATACGGCTCAACAGGTTACACCCGAAGCCAACTATACTGGCAACCCACCCCCGCCGCCATCCCCGTCCTACCTAGGCGGTTGAGACGAAAGGTGAAATCTACGGGGGATGCTGGTGCGGACCGTACGGGGTATGAGGGTTGCCAGGCAACCTTTCGCTCTCTCATCGACCACCGTCATGGGCCGCGCCCGTCTGAGACCATACCACCACCGCCCCCGCTCTCGTCGTCGCCGCCGCCACCATCACTATCGCTACCACCACCACCACTATCGCCGCCGCCACCACCGCCACCACCACCATCACCACCACTACTACTACCACTACTACCACTACTACTATCATCATCACCGGCACGTTACCACCACGTGGCGACCTTAAGCTCCTTTCACACCGCGTCGACACCGTGCGCCACGTGTACGAGAGCCGGTAGACGCCCCGCTGCGGTCACGATGTTTTATGGAAGCGCTTAATTAAAGATGACTTCCGGGAACTTTATGTCGAGTACCCGGAGACGTTTTCCCGCGAAGTGCAAGATAATTGGACGTAGTAGTTGCGTGCGCAACCGAAGGGGGCCACTTAAGGTCTAAGTACGAGATGCACTTAAGGTGAGATATTTCTTGCGTGATTGTAATAAGTTTATTACGATGAATCGCGCGCGCGCGCGCGCGCGCGTTATCGAATACGGAACGTATCATCGTCGAGTGCCTCGTCATTTTCTCGCCATTTTCTCGCTCCCTTTATTACACATCTTCCCCGTCGCGATTATCACCTACGGATTTTGCATGCAAAGATATACCTCGCGTCTTTCCGGAATTCACAGCTCGCTGCTTCAACCGCGTTGCCACGAGCCCTACTCTGCTCTTCTCGGTACCGCGCTTTATTGCACACTGTCCGCACTTAAAATAGAGAAAGGCGAGAAAAAAGAAGCGCATAAAACGCAGCCTAAAAGACCGGGGCCTCATATGTCGCTCAGAGCGGCTACAATTTTGGAACGTTATTATAAACGGGGTTAATGGCTGGTTTCGGTTTAAACGTCTCTTCATTTTTTCTCTTCTTCGCCCATCTCCTCCCTTCTACTTCTCTATCTGTAGTTTTAGTCACAGAAGATAAAAAATCAGTTGAACAGGAAGACTGAAATGATTGAATGAAACCGACTCCTTTTTAACGTACATTGCTGTTCGGTTCCTGATTTCTCGCTGCGGCTATCTTCATTTATGATATCAGAAGAGTGAGGAAATGCATACCCAAAATTCCTGCAAATTACATTGAAATTAAAAAGATGTAAAAGTGACACTCGCGATTGGTTAAACAGATTTCCAAAATACTCCTCTTCTTTCGTTCTAACAGTCAATAAATAACCGTAACGAGTCAATAATTAACGTGACAAGATAATAAGAAAATGTAGGTAAAAAGCGAGTCTGCATGTCAAGTTAATTTCACAGTTATTTATTGAGTTTTTTGTTAGAGGAAAATGGAAGGAAGGATTGCGAGAGGAAAATGTTCTGAATATTTTAGAGGTGTACTTGATCGATTGCAAGTGACATTTCTTGCATATACATTTTTTTTTATTTCGACGTACTTTGCAATAATTTTGGACATGCATTTCCTCGCTTCTGATGTCACTAGTGCAGCAGGAGGTGCTGCGGCGAGGGGTCCAGAGGAAGACTGTCACATAGATATCGGCCGGTGTGACAATTGAGCATTCTTGTCAAACGAGCGAACAATTTTTCTGACCTCTTATTCGCACGATGGCAGCCGATGTATCCACCTCGGCCAGGAATATAAAAAAGCTCCTCCGCGCGCGTGTAGCGCGCTTCGCTGTTCATAAAGAAGAGCGGAAAGACGGGACGGGGAGAGAGAAAGAGATATGACGCGATCCGTCTGAGAGACTCTGAAGGAGAGAAGAGGAAGGGAGGGGAAGGGGGGAGGAAGTCTGACGTGATCAGAAAGCGCTATTTTTCACGTCGAGTGCTCTCTCCTCCCCGGCGCTTTTCTGCTCTACGTGACCGGCTTCCTCGGCGTTCCTCTTTGCCGGCTAATGCGCGAAGAATCGGCCGCAAAAGTTTTTCGCGCGTACGCAGTCGCGTTTTTCCTCCGTCGCCCATTGTTGTCACGGATCATGAATTATCAGCTCTACACGCTCCCTGTACGCGGCTCCTGTCCTCCCGGCGTGACAAACCGGGGGATATAAACGTGCGGCACGGGCGACATTATTCATCGAGTCTCGGATCGGTTAATATTAATTAAGTCATTGTCTTGTCGAAGAAAGAGTTCGATCGCTCCGGCGAATCGTCATCGACGAGGCTACATTATGTAGCATAAATTGTATCTTGAGAGGATTTCACACGTAACTTTCTCTCCCTTTTTTCTTCTTTTTATATCGTGTAATCATCTTTGGACTCGTGAATATGTATGAGCGCGTGATAATGGCGAAAACGATCGGGGTTTGTCGAAGCTGATGGTGGTTAGGTGGTGCTGTTGCTGCTGCCGCTGCTGTGACGACGGTAATTACCGAAAAGTTGAAATGCACTCGGCGTTTTTCTCACCTGCGTCATTTTCACACGCGTCTTTCGTGATGCGTACAATTTGTTGCGGCTACTTAAGGATTCCAGGTCGTCTGTTCTCTCTTTGTTTCTCTCTCTCTCTCTCTCCTCCTGCTTCCACTCATCTCTCCCTCTCTGCTCGTCTTTTTCTTCTCATTTATGTTCTTGCTCGAGCCCGAAGGAGCACCGCCGCTCGCGCAGCATCGCCGGCATCGCTGGGTATCGAATTCTCGACGAGGAGGCGGAGAGAAATGGAAAGCAACGAACGCGATTCTCGGAAATAATGTATGCCGCTTCTGTTGAAAATCTCGAGCGACTACAGCACGCGGCTCGCGTTCCTTTTTTTTTTCTCCTCTCTTAATCCCGTCTCATCCTTCCTCCGGGGCGTAGCATTACGGGCGCGCCGTAGCTCGCACGACGTGACGAGTGTTCGGCGCGCAGCTAGATTTTCTCGGCAAAAAGCGGGCCCTCGCACATCGTGAAAGAACGGGCGAGAAGTGTGGCCAGTACACTTTTTAGCAAGTACCTCGCGTATCATATCCCTGTTCTCAGCGAAGCGCTAAGAATCGGCAATCGGAGACATTACTTTGCATATGTTTTTTTGCTTCCATCTAATTTAGGGTCAAGCGGTGGTCCAGCTCGCGAAAACCGTGAAGGACGTGACTATCTTCGGCGTCTGCAGCAAATCCAAGCACGAGGCTCTCAAAGCCGCCGGAACCATCGACTATCTTTTGGAGCGCGGCACGGACTACAGCAACGAAGTCCGAAAGTACGTAAGCGATATCGCGTTTGGCCGCTAGGGAATCCGAAAGGGAACCTCACGAATTTGTAACATGTGTCTCTGTGAACTTGCAGAATTTCGTCCGAGGGCGTGGACATCGTTTTAGATTGCCTGTGTGGCGAGGAATGTAACAAGGGCTACGCCCTCTTGAAACCAATGGGCAAATACATCCTTTATGGATCCAGCAACGTCGTCACCGGGGAAACCAAGAGCTTCTTCTCCGCAGCGCGATCAGTACGTAGTTTTTAGTTCAGCTGATCGATCTTCCAATTTATCGAGATTTTGTGTACTTTGATGGCTCGTTTATTACTGTGAACATTCTTTTGCTACGTCTTTCCTCAATGAGCCTAATGCGCGCTTTGTTATTTGACGTTTTCAGTGGTGGCAAGTCGACAAAGTGTCACCTATAAAGCTGTTTGACGAGAACAAGACACTGTCCGGATTGAATCTGCGCCACTTGATGTACCGGCACGGCAGTCACGCGTTTGTACGACGGGCAGTGAACCAAGTGTACACATTGTGGAGCGAGGGCAAGATTAAGCCGGTGGTGGACTCGACGTGGGCGCTGGAGGATGTGCCCGAGGCAATGCAAAAAATGCACGATCGCAAGAACATCGGTAAGATCGTTCTGGATCCGAGTCTGGAGCCAAAGCCCAAACCAGCTACACCGGCTAAAGGCAAGGCGAAGGACAAGAAGGCCGCGAATCAGGAGGAGAAGAAGGCGTCCAGCGTAGAATCGGAGGAGGGAGAGAAGAAAAAGGAACCGGAATTGACAAATGGCACCTCCGAAGACAAATCTGATAGCGGTAAGGAAAAAGAAAATCAAATGTAAAAGCGCTTAGTTTATTCCGTATGGCTTGAAAATTAAAGAGAGAGAGGCAAGAAGATTCGCTCGTATCTCTTGTTTCAGATTCGAAAGAAAAGGAATCTAGCTGAATTAGCAGTAGTAACTAATCCTATAAGACAGAAAAACTGATGCCCACAAACATCAAGAATTCCCAGGAAAGTACTATTACTGAGAGACGATCCATCGTTGCCCGAGAACAAACAGAAAAAGAAAAATAGAATTTGACCCGAGTAATCATCAGTGGTATCGCGCAAAATTTACATGCAGATGATACATAAGCAGAGAGAATCATGGTTCATATCGTGCGATTTAACAATTCTAATGTGGCGGGGTAGTCCTCGAGCGATTGGCCTGCCAGAGACGCGGACGAAACATTTCAATGTAGCGAAGTAATCGATCGCTTGCGCTGTAAGGTACACCCTTTTTTTTTTTTTCTTTCACGACCCTTTCACGGGCGCTCTCTTCACCGTTTGTCATCTGCATGTGTCTATTCTCCTCACATTTGCGCCGAGATAGAAGGGTTCACGCGAACCACGCGAGCGGAGAAACGACAGCGTATCGTGTAAGAACGAGAGAAGCAACCAAATAGAAGTAACAATCTTGACGCGGTCCACAGTAGTTTACAGAATATAAGAACGTTATGTTTATTTTTTCACACCGACCAAATGGTTAATTTTGCGAAGAGTTAAGTGAACAGCTGTTGGATATGAGATAATCGTTAGGCAGCTTGGTGTTCGCCTTTCCTTTTATCACTACTGCTATTATTATATCGTCTTGGAAAATGGATGCAACAGCCTTTCCGTACTTATCGAACTTGTCGAGCTTATCGGACAACTAACGGGGAATATGAGCTGTTTAATAATTGTGGCGTTGCCCAACAGCTATCCAACTTGGCTCTGTCTATTTGTATCAAATATTATCGCTGCTACTACGATATATACTAACATTCTCTTACACTAATATAATATTACCTCTATTTGTAATTTATAATGGGATAAAAATAACGTAATTCCGCTGAAGTCGAGTTTCCGTGGAAAAACTATAAACGCGGAGCTGCATATTACTTTCGTATGTAAATTTTATGTACCAGAGATGTTTTTACACCACTTTATTGTTCGTCCTGACACTTTTGTCGGACGGAATATCCATTTAAATTTTAACGATAACCATGAAAGTCGAGAATAACATTTAGTATTACGCGGCATTTCGCTGGGATTTGAACGCTTTTTTTATACTTTCATACCTTGTAGTGTTTTTATGTAAAATTAATTGTAGACTTCGGGGATTTTCTACGCAATTTTGAAGGAGTATCTAAATGTATAACTGCCTAAGAACCGACTGCAATCGGTAATTTTCCAAATCAACATTCTGTCTCCTTCTCCAAATCATGCACATTGATCTTTAGCAACGATATTTCAACGAGATGCTTTCAAAATGTTTCTAGCTAACGTTTTCGGCATGTAATCCGACGTGTAATGATGAATTTATTTAAGAACAAACGCATCCGTGGATGTTTATGCCGCGCTAAAAATTTCGGATAACGATCGGATTCGATATCTAATTAAGAATTAACTGATACATAGCACAAGATAATTAAGTGAAGATCTAATTAGACTGATTAATTACGGCTTGAAACTGTAACGAGCCTAGTAGAGAGACGTTACTCGGCAGAAAAGTGCTTCGAGAATTACTATCTTAGCGAATGTTGGCGTATTTCATTTCTACGTGAAATTTTCGAATTAGTTTTAACGGAAAGATCGAACGCGCTCTCGATATACAATGATACAAATGTCCCACAACGTTTCTATTCAGATGTACGAATCGATGATGTACTTGAAAGACTCCGAGTAACTTTATTGTTTAAATGAAATTTTATAAACATATTTAATGACGTTGCATCAACATATGTACATGAAGAGTAATTTAACGAATTAGCGTCGTAGAAGCTTAAAGTATATCGCTTTTTTCATAAGAGAAGGAACGACAGTTTAAAGGTAAAATACGCAAGGCCTCATTTTTTAATGTAACACAATCTCGCGTGAATACAGTTGTGTCGCCTAGAGCCGAACGCGTAACTGCGCTCCGACAAGTTACGTTGAATCCGCATTGCGGTTTTTCCTCAAACTTTCGAACCTTCGCGTAATATTTTCGACGATGGTCGTGACGCACTGTCCCGGCCGTCCCGTGCGAATAATAGCGAGAAAGACGCGTTATCACACTAACGGTGATCTGTTGAGCGAAGAAGGTTTCATAGTGATATAAACAAAGGATTAAGGCGATCCCCTTCGCGAGAGGATCTTGAGATAAGAGTAAAGGAAAAAAGAAGAAAGGATGAAAAGATCTCGAGGATGTGTCCTCGACGGAATGCGGCTCGGCGGAGGAGCTGGCCGATGCAGAACAAAGTGCATATCTCTCCGGAATGTTGGAACAATTTTGGTGTAGCCGATTTCGTTAGGATTTGATACTAGCTCTGTATACCGATATCTATATTATACAAATCACTATGCAAAGAAGAGGAAGAGACACGGACGAGGGGGAAGATATGTGTCAACGATATATCTCAGCGCGAATATCTTACATCAGAGAGAGAGAAAAAAAAAGAAAGAGAAGTCGCGCAAGAGCGCCAAGAGGAATTACTGCCGTATCGAATCTCTCGGTCCAAAAGTACATAACTGCTATCTTACTCATCAAGAAAACGTATCGATCTGAGGCAAGAAAAAAAAAGACAAAAAAAGTATACATGATAAAAAAAAATACTGCGAAAAACATGATAAATGTGGCTGCATATTTTGAGACATCTTTTAAACACACTAAGATACACTTAATCCCGAAGTATACACACGAGGTAACCGATGACATGAATACACACGAGACATACGCCCACACACGAGTAACGACGACACACATCATACTGTATATTTTATTGTACGGCTTTAAATGTTTCATCAAATAACTCTATTATATTATAATATATCTATATATTTGTATCGATCGTTTCCTCCTGCCCTAATTTTTCATCTAGGTCCGTAGCACGAACGTCAGGAACGATGATTATAATCCAGAATGTTGCGAATGTTACTACACGCTGTAGAGGATCAGGACGGGCTTCAAACGCACACGAGAAAGAGAGAGAAAGGAAGAGAAAGAGCGAGAGTAACATGTTTGCCTGAAAAATTGATTTTGCAACAGGGAACGCGTGTTGCATGAGAATAATTGACGTTATCGATCGAACGACCGAGCTTTCAGCAAAAGCCCAAGTACGAAATTGCGCTTTCGCGAGATGTTTTGCGCTCCTTTCATTACAGATCGACCTCGTGCTCGATTTAGCGAACGTCTCATCGTTTCGACACTTTCTGTATAGCTAGACAGTATATCTCCATGTATATTCTCCGTTATTTTATGTCTCTTGACAAGAGAAAGAGGAAGGGAAAGAGGGACAAAAGAGAAAAGGATACTTTGCGCGTTCAAACGCCCTCCGATTAAAAAGATTCAGCTGACGACGGAAACGCGAGCATGTGCTCCTTAATTATTGATTTTCAATTATCCGTACACACATCAGAACGGAAACGTTTGCCTAAAGCGGACCCAAGCGACGGCGAAATTCCGCGCTATCTTCCCTTTTGATGGTCACGGTCAAAGCGGGCAAATCTTACGACTGCGAGAAGCTTTGAGCGAGCATTTCGATTAGGAGCGTGTCAAGGTCGCGGAGAAGGTGCTTCTGTAGCTGTAGCCGGCGATATATAGAAATGTCTAGGCGTTTTATAAGAGTGCAGATTTATCGCGTTGCGCCGCGGTGAGACGGGCGCGTTAGCTAATCAAGCTTGATCAAGCTTTTATAATGGAGTTTACGAGACGATCAGACCTTTTCAACAATGACAATCCGCACTAATCGGCGAATTGACGAAATATGTTCGATAATATTTTAGGAATCGTTATCAACGCGGAGGAACGATAACGATTGAGGAAGGGATCACTCGCAGTCGCTGCAAAACAGAGGGTACGCGGCGGGTCCGTTTCCGAACTTCAGCTTGAAGTGTAGTCGAAGTCGAAGTATAGTTTCGCGAAAAAAGGGCGCTCGTTGAGGCTAATCATAAAATGATAACCATTCCGTTGGCGCGATAGGTAGGAAGATAGATAAAAATGAAAAAGAGAAAGGGAGGGAGAGAGAAAAAAGTGCGTCTAATTATTTGTGCGAATCCGCATCGTTGGAGGAAGAAAAAGAGAGGAGAGAGAGAGAGAGAGAGAGAGAGAAAGCAGGACCTACAGTTTCACGAACGTGATACATTATAATTATGTGTAAAATTGTAAAATTCGTCAAGGGGTCCGGGCGAAAGCAAAATGCGCCTCTTCCCGCCGTGAGGTTCTCGCTGCGGGATTAATTTCCGCCGAAGATGCTCACGAGAGAAGGAAAAAACGGCTTTTTCGCCCGTTCCCCGCCAGGCTTGACATATAGATTGTATTTTTGGCTTATTATTGTAAGACTGACTATGTTGCTATATTAAAGAGATTGCTTCGAAAACAGGGCGACGAAACTTGACTGCACATCTTCTTCACCCCGCATCTCCTTCGACACGACACGCCACCCTCGTCACCCTCTCCTCGCTGAAAACGAGAAAACGCTCGGTTCGCTCGGGAAATCGAAAATGACAGGCACACCAGGCGGGATACGAAATCATCTCTTTTATTGTTTATTCATATAAAGGTTAAAAAACTTAAAAATATATTGTATGTATATTCAACGTGTATGTTAAGATGTTGCCTTCGTTAATCTCTCGATCCGTCGCTCGACAGATTGTGCGAGCGGAGATCGCGGTTTTCCATAATTTGCTTTTGTTACTGCTATAAAATAAGGGTTATACTCGCATCGCGCCAAGCAGACTTCTTCATGGACGGTATCTCATGGCGTCACGCACACGCGGATACAATTTAAAGGCCCGCCGTCGGAATATCGGTGTTTCATATTTGGGGGAAAAATCGCGTGTAATAAATAATTTTAACATTTAACGTAAAAAGTTGCCGTGTATGCGAATTGTGACAGTAACGTTCAAGAGACGGACCCTTAAAGCACCGGTGGCGTAAACGGTTTTATTACGCTATATGTAACTACAACTTATATATATAAACTTTTCTATGTATGAATCATAAGTTCATATACATATCTAATATACGTGCTATGTTATTAAAATAGATCTTTGATGTATCTCTATTTCTTTTTGTTTCAACAGATACATATTTATACATATAGATTTATATCTCCCGAGGCACTAATTATTACGGAGACGCTACGGTCTTTCCGATTCACATGAACAATCTGTATAAACAGGACGGTATCATTGTCACTCGATTACTCGCGTCGAGTTGGAATACATTTATGTCTCCTATACTCTACTAGTATTTACACAATTAGTCGATCATATTAATTAATGTGTGTGTGCACGTGTATTGTTTTGATTGATCTTTCGTATTTGAGAGATAAGATATGAGACGGAAACGAGCACTAAAGTCAGAAATGTTAGCGAGTACTACGAAGGCGTGATCTGCGAACGACTATTTCGTAATTAGAGTAGAAGCTACGAAATATCGTGAAACGATCTTCAGGCTGGAAATTATTTGGAGTGAAAGAGGAAAGCGACACCTTATTGAAGATCCGAAACTCTATGCGCGGTTATTTTCAGTATACTCTTTTTCCTTCTTTCCGTTTAACAACTACGAACACTTTCGCCGTGATTGTTTTGGTAATAACGGTCAATAGCATAGCTAACAACTCTGCGTAAAAGTCGCCGGCTACGACTATTACGCTGGATTTGTACTTGAGATGCTTTGCCTCCAAGAGTACAATGCCTTAACCGTATACAGTAAGTCACAAAACGGTTTAGACGCATTTCGAGCATTGAAGTCACTCGACAACGCAATTATAACTGACAAAATCAGGTTGTCATCGTATTATAATTAACTCTTAGTGATCCTACATAGGTATTTCGAGTCTGGATGGTTTCTATTCATAGAAATTTCTCAGCACGTTAAAGAGTCCCGGATATATTACATTTTAGGTTTTTGCACAATGAAGTACAGATATTTGTTCTAGAAACTTAAAAGTATATCCGTGAATTTTTACAGATTTTTCGAGCCACTTTCAGGGCTGCCAGCGAGTCACTTTTTCCTTTTTTGTCACTTTTTTTTCAAGAGATCATTTATAGTCACCTTTTTCAAATTTGGTCACTTTTTCCCTTTTTTCATTTATAAGCTGAAAATATATTATAAATAATTTACATACAGATGCGTCTCTCTCAGCTCTCTATTCCGCAGCTTTTTTACTTTGCATGTAATTTCACCCTAAGAGCTTTGTGCAGACAAAGTATTTTTGCCGCGTTCTAGAATTCGCACGAGCCTTTCGAACTGAAATCGAATATTTGAAATTCAAAATGCTGATCAAGAAAAAAATGTTTAAATCTGACCCGACTTTATCATATCTGCTCATTTGTGCTCACCCTTGCGAAATGGTTCGTACATGATCCATATATATACTATGTATGAATCATAAATGAATCACATGTGGGGCCTCGATATGATTACTGGGTCTTTGAGTGTTTTCTTTTGGTACGTACATCAATACCATGCCAAATATTTACAATATTTTAATCCGCTATCTTGAATTTTACATTTTTTTACTTCAAATTTGGAAAGAACACCCCAAAAAGACCCTACATACCAATTTTTGTGAATATCGGATCGATAATTTCTGAAATACATGCATGAAGGCTGTAGAACATTAAAAGATGTCTCTCGTCCTGAAAAGGTTAATTATGGTCACTTTTTTGTGAAAAAAGTTACTTTTTCCCCTTTTCTTCCCCTGGAATCGCTGACAGTCCTGCACTTTAAAGATATGATAAAAGGGCCGAACTCGAAAGACCCATGTAGGGCCACATGTGGTGCCGTTTTTCACATAAGCCACTAAGGGTTAATATACATCTCAAGCCAGAAAGGCAAATATAAATTTACTTTTTTTTCTGAACAATCAAGTATTTCATATGCATTCTACTGTGCCTACTCTGTGGCTTCGGCTCTTATTATAACCAATTGATGCGCGAATGTGTCAGCAGTGCCTCTCAATTTTGACATCTTAAAGCGCTGCAACTTCAGTTTTCACAAAACCGCCGTTTTGTGATTCACTATATATAACTTTAACTGCTTGCTAAGATTTAAAAACGGGACGGATATTATAATATTTATAAAAATTAATAATAATCGTTATAACAATATTAAAATCGCAAATGTCGCGCAAAACTTTCGAAATTGCGTCAATATTCTCGAGGACGATTACTTCAATACCGTGCAGTCTCATAATATTACGATATAAGTTTGTGCGTTTTCTCGCATCTAGAAGTAAATACATTATGTTTCTGACTTGTTGCAGCTTATCTCTTGGGTAGGTAGGTAAATTAACATCAATTGTTCGCTGTTGATAATACGATTTCTTGGCATATCATCCAAGTGTAAAAGTAGAGTAATTTAGGGACTTTTCGATATATGGGAGATCTCGACATTTGTATGATTTGAAGGATTATGACAGCTATATTCAGACATCTGAGCTTCGGCTATGAGCGAGTTTTTTAATTCATCGATGGATCCATCGCATGATGCGCAAATACAGCGTTTTACTGTATCTGCGCATCATGCGATAGACCCATCGATGAATTAAAAAATTTGCCCTATATATCGAAATCAACGTTACGTCACTAACGTATCAATGATAATATAAATCATTATCTATCAAGCTTATGTCAGCAACCGACGAATTCTTATTCGAAAAGCCCATTTCATTATACTCAAAGAGTTGTACCTTTCTTTTATACCAATTTAAAGATTATATGTCCTAAGATATATCATTATATTAATTTCACACAAAGAGAATCTCTTTAAACAACCAAGATCTCTCTAATTATCCAAAATTACCCTAAGTTACCTAATATATAAAAAGATCCTGACATCTTCAAATTATGAAAAATGTTATATATAAAAAAGATCCTGAAATTTCTAAATTATGAAAAATATTATATATAAAACTATATTCACGGCAAAGATAGACCTTTGATATCATAAATATAACTTGAAAAGAACTGCCAAAATAGCTATAAATAATGACTTGCCAAAATAGCTAAAAATACTTATTTCCATTGGACGGAAAGAGAAAATTTGAGATTCATGATAATACGATTATTTCATAATAGGACATCGAATTGTTTCTTGCAAATCATTCTCTTGGATCACTTATTCAAGACAGACTTTTCAAATCGTCAGAAATAAAATTGTGAATACCTCTCTATTACGCTTCTCATTATTGTACGTACCGTTCTGTATGTTTGTGGTTCGTCAGCGATGGTGAATCATGACGATAGAAACGGACGTTGTGTCGGACAAGGATCGAACGCTATAACATTTGCGCAGAGTTGCTAGCCGACATTGAATTGCTGCGTTCGGAAATACCTCGTTATTGTCACTATGAGCGATGCGACAAGCAAGAAACCTGCCGGCGTGGCTAGAAGTGTGGCTGCGTTGTAAATCGGGCAGTACGGGCATTGCGAGCTACCACAAACCTCACAGATATTTAACGTGTACGTGGGCAGTGCATCAAATATAGATTCGTTGAAGCGTTCTGAAACAAAATTGCCCATTTCTCAATATGTTTTAATTCTATTATCTGATTTTTTAGTTAATTCTCAGTTGCAATGATTGCAATAGCAAGATGACGTGTATAATGCACGTAATAGGTTTTTAGGTACCTGGCGCATAATAGTCGTAAACGCGGATGGCGAGATATCGCGACATATTGGCGACTGGATACCAACGTTCTATCGTGAAGTTCACGCATGTCTCTTCGCTGTCCAAGTAATCGAAGTAGAAAAGCACTTTCTTGTCTTGAAAGCGCGCTCTCTGAAGATTCCTCACCTGTTTCGACAGAATGTATCGGTCCAAGTTTTGCTGCTGGATTATGTAACCAGTCGGTATACCAACGTCCAACACTGCCATACCAGAGCGCGCGGATTCGTTGATATTCGTCCATCTGTACAAAAAAAAAAAAAAACGACGCGTTTTAGACAAACGTAGAGACAATATCACGAGGCGCAGCAAATATAATTCACAATGATCTATTCACTTTTGACAACTGATGTACGATATGTGAGACTGATTTCTGCCGTGGAAATTCGCTCTGGTGACTAGATCGAAGGCTTTGACCGGCGGCTTTGTCTGGAATTTCTGGATATCCACGTTGTACTGCACGCTCATCTGCAGTATAGCGTAGCCTGCGCCCTTCGCCTGCACCTTCACGGTTCCCCATGCTTCCGGTATCTACGTGAAATTACAAATTAAGACATCACATATTATTGATTCATTTCAATACTTCAAGACGCTGCATACCTCGATGGTTTGAAGTTTCGCCAGATTATTGTTATTCACAACCAGCGTTTTTATCTCTCCATGCAGAGAGGTGGCCTCTACCGTCACCGTGAGCGAACTCACATCTCTGATCCTCGACCTTACGGTGTATTCCATCAACGCCTTCATAGCCCAAACGGTATCCTGTGTGGAAGCCCACCCGCCGTCCGTCAATCTCTGCGCGTTTAACCATTTCACTATTGGCTCTAGTTGGAGCTCATGCCTGGCGACAAGTACGAGCAGGCCGTACGCGGTTGTTTCTATATTCTCTGCATCATATGTGTAGGGTAAACGCGGCAGTAAAAAGGGTTTTTGATTCTCCGTCTTGAAGTTTGGAACTGGTATATATTCTCTACCCCAATACATTAGTCCGTCTTCCGAATGCTTATGATTCATTAGAATATGAAAGACTTGCTCAGCGATCGAGGCCTTCGACACCAAGAGTGCGTAAGCCGTTATGGCTATCTCGTAGGGGTTGCTTTCCATTTCTAGTACTTTCAAGTTTTGTTCGAGCCATTTGACGGCGTTGGCCGCGCTCAAGGCCACCTGAGAACCTAGACCACCAGTAAGATCTTTGACACTCTGAAGCGTGATAAGTACGTGCGCTGTGAGACTGATGTTCCTGAAACGGGTCGAGTCCTCCCTCATAAATAGTGTGCTGTTCATTTTTCGGTCTGGCAACCAGGTCACCTCATAGAACGCACCCTCCGGCGTCTGGTGCTTAAGTATCCACGAGATCGCCTGCACGATCACATCGGGGTCGATGTACAGATAATTTTCCCACTCGTAGAAGCTGGCCTCTTGAAAGATTCGCGCACAGAACGCCGTAAGCCAGACACTCGGCATTGATTGATTCCAGTCGGTGCGGAAGAAGCTAAACGATCCATCGAGATTCATGAACGACAATTGTCGTTGATAACCGATGTTCATATGATAGAAACTCTCCTTCTCTAGTGTGCGATTGCGCTGGTTGATTAAGCGCATGTACAGAGTGGTGTACATGTTGGCGGCAAAGCTGAACATGTTCTGTTCGGCACAGTCCATGGGCAGATTCAAGAGACTCGTCGCGTTCACCGGCATCGTCGGGAAGATTGGCCCCACTACGTCACCCACTAAACTGATGGTCGCCTTGTTAGAACCGAACACGTAGTAACGGTTCTCGTCGTACGGTATAATAGGCGTCTCCGTGACGTTGACGTGCATATATTGGAACACGTAAGCGCGATTGCTGAGATCCAACAGGATCGACTCGTGCCGATACTGCGGCACTCCGTCAGCCTCCACGTGCAATGTGCGAGTCACCGAGTCTCTGCCGATCAGGGTGTTTGCGTGCACGCGAATCTGAATGTCCCCGAGTCTCACTGGCACGATAGGTAGGTAGACAATGGAAGCGTCCTGCGCGGGTATCCAGATGAAGAATTGGTGCTCGCCAAAGGAGGTGCGCGGCTTATACGACTGCACAATACCGTTGTCCTCAACATGAATAAATTTGTAATCCTTGGAGCCTTCTAAAATCACCGTCGCCTCAATGTTGTAGCACATGTAATTGAAGACAGACACTCGGATGCCGATCTGTTCGCCTTGTCTGCTGCGAGTTGGCATTTCCACGTTTATGTAGAACGGCAATACACCGGTGTACTCGAGCGCCTTTGTCAGCATACCGAAACCGATACTGGGTGACATACTGAACGCAGTTATCATCCAATGAACCGGCCTACGGGGCACATCGATGTTGAAGATCTGCCTGCCGTGCGGACCGATATTGATGTCCTTCCACAGCCAGATGTTTTCATAGTGCCGTTGAATCCGGTTGAACCGCCACTTGCGGAACAACGCCAATTCGGTGGCATTCCGTTCAACACAGCGCACCTCGTCTGAACCGTCCTCACAGTCGAACACACCGTCACATTTCTTCTCCAGCCGATAGCATCGACCGGACAGACACTCGCCGTATCCTTGAGTTTGATTACAGAGATCAGATCTACGATATATAATCGCGTCTGTGAAGACCACCAGGCCGATGTATTCGAACGTGCGATTGACGTCGATGCCGAAGGTGGACGACGGGTAGTACACGACCTCGTCCGGGTCACCGTCATGATACTGCCAACTGTGCGAGTGGGTGCCGTTAGTCTCCTCGTCAAAGTGTGCCATCTTAGTAATGACATTTGCGTACGTCAATTCGTTGCCAGCTTGCATGGTGTAAAAGGAACGGTCGATGCCTGATAGTCCGACGTATGCGCCGGGTTCGCCGTAGATTGCCACCTCAACGCGTTCCCCTGTCCTCGCCTTCTTGTTGTTGATGAACACGGTGAAGTTATTGCGCGAAATACCGTTCACAGGGAACGTCAGCGAGTCCGCCACCACCTCGCCATGAAGACCCAGATAGTATACCAAGACGGTCGCGACTGGAGCCATCTCGGAACTCAGAGGAATAGCGAAGGTCGTGATGCTGTGCTGCATGTTGTCCTCTCCAGTCAACAGTATTATACCCTTTGACATGATGAGATAGTTGAAGGTCTCAATATGGAAGTTGGTCTGTACGTGAAACACCATATATTCGCCGACTTTAGGATTCTCGGTGGACGTCGAGATCTTGATGTGCTGTAAATTCGGCGACTCATGAACGAGCATCAGCAGCTCGGCTTGCGCTCTGTAGCCCTCGCCGTCGGTGATATGCGCGAATACCCTCATAGAGGTGATGTCGTTCAGTACTTGATGGGCGCGATCAATGTCGTTTTCCAGTCCGAGCTGCTTTCTTAGATCCATCTTTATGGACCAGATGCCCTCGTGCTCCGGAGATGATCTGAGGTACTGGTTGCCGATAGTGCGACGTCCGCCGCTGCGCGATTCAACGTCCGCATGGATCTCCATCACAGCGTCCCTGAGCTGCGTGGGACGCAACGGCGAGTCGTCGTGGAAAGATGCGACCAGGTTCAGTGTGAAAGGCATCGCCGGCTTGAAAACCTGCGGACTGCCGCCGAGAAAGCGCACCTTCGTAGTGGAATTGAAGATTCTCGCTGTGGCATAGCCGACAATCACCTCGTCCAAGAATCTCTCGCCTACCGTCGCGACCACAGTGACCTCCATGCCGTCGATGGACGTCGCAAAATTCAACAGTTCACTCATGGGATACCGGAAGTAGTACGTGCCGTTAAAAAATCTCAGGACGGGTATGTTCTCTTCATACAGATTGAGCGATCTGAACCAAGACGGATAGTACTCATTGAAGCTGAAATATCTCTCGATTGGTTCGATCGCAATAGCGGGATTGCGTGTTCTCTCTAGCGGTTTGAAACTGGCTTTCAGGGTCAAGTTACCTCTTACTGGCGCGCCAGACGTGTAATTCGCCTGGACAATACCATAGATGTAGGGGTCGTTGTCGAAGAAGAACGCCGGCATCGTTACGTTTACCTCAAAGCGCGTTTGGTAATATTCCTCTACGATGAACTTCTTCTCTTCCACTTGATTCTGCGCGATCACCTGCACGATCCATTCGCCAAATACTGGCTGATCGGACAGCTGATACGACAGCGACACAGTGCCGAGATTGCTCTGTCTGCTGAGCCATCTTCTCATGATTCGTCTATTCGGGTCCAGCATGTATACATCGACAGGATTATTGTAGGCTTTCAGCTCAGTGTCTATGGGAATTGTCCTGAATCGTATTGTCTCGCCCTGCATGTACACTGGCTTGTTTAATTGTATGAAGATGGTCATGGAACGTTGAGAGAATATCAGCTTGGTTTCATTCAAAAAGGCTTGACCACCCTTCAAATTATTATATAGTCCTTCTACACGTAGGTTATAGTCACCACCTACAGAAGTAGATGGCATACGCATCATTAGGGTTTCTGGTATGCCCTCTTTCACTTCCTGATGGTCTGTTGCAATTTCCACACCATTGCGTTGTATAGATGAACGTACTACCATGGGTAGTCGACTGCGAAGGATGTTCACAGCAATTCGGTACACTTGACCAGGTCTGACCATGCGAGATGCTACTACAAAGTACATGCTGTAAATAAATCAAAATTATTTGTCATGCAGAATCTCTCCTAGTAAATTTACTGAAACAATTAATATTCCACTTTAATGTTAAGCTCAAACTGTACTGATACTTACGATTCTTGAATTATGACATTTTCATTTGAACCATAGGGATTTCCATAGTATCCAAAACCTGTGTTCTGATCCCTGTCGTCATATCGATTCCATGGAAGTCTAGAAGTAGATTCAGTAGGTTCTTGGGTGAACTGGCCATCTCCAAAAGCCAGGAATGACAAAAGAATCCAGATCAGCATTTTTCTGCAATATATATATAAAATTTATTATTTATATGTTAAGGAAAAAATTAAAAAATATTGTTTTAAAAAATGATAGTCCAAATGCATGAAATTTGTTAAATATCATAGCAACATACAAACATGAAATTCAGCAAAAGTTAAGTATAAAGTACACAAACAAGTATACATATAAAGTTAATATACAATTTATACAATATTATACAAACATCCAACTAAGAAATACATATCTACGGAGATATGACATAGATGTGGTTTTTGACACGCCTACTCGTCATCGCGTTTAATTGCTTCTTTACTTCCATCGTCTATTGACAGTACATGCAAAGCTTGTTAAACGCACTTGATTCTTTATATAAATAAATGATATCATATGCTTACATGATAATGCTGACTCGTAGGCGACGTCGCAAAATTTAATGTGTCAAAATTCACGCAATGAGACGCGTGAGAAGCAAAATCAGTAATAGAACGCGGAATTAGACGCGCAGCGGTCAACGCCCAAACGCGCATTCTTCGAATCGTATGTGTCATCAGGACTCACCTTAGGGTCACAATTTATTGGCTGAACTGATCGAGATCACGTATCACAGACAGCTGCGCACGATAAGCATCACCGCGTAACGTGTGACGAAGAATAATACTAAAAAACAACGTTGAAAACGAGCATTGTGTAATAACTCATGAATGATGAGGAGTGGCCCGTTACAAACTCGTGTTTTGCCGTTGGTGATGCGCGACACGCCATTCGTTCAGATTGGAATGTTACACGAAAAATCAGTCCCAGCTAGCGACGCGCTATCTTACATTCACGGATAGCAAATGAAGCTATTCCCAACATGAACATAAAGGCCGGTTTATGATGACTGTAATGGTTCCTGCACACAGGACGTGGTAATGTTTGCCGCGCGGTGAAAGTCCGCGCGACAGCCAATCAATATGTTATTTTTCCGTAAGAGCTAAAAGGTTATTACGAAAAGCAGTATATTGATTAGCTGTCGCGCGAACTTCCGCCGTGCGGCAAGCATTACCGCGTCCTGTGTGCAGGAGCCATTAATCGGAGGTGAAAAAATTGGGCATAAGTATGAAAGTGTAAAAAGTTCAATCAATGCGAATAAATTTATATTAGCCAATAATATATTAGCTATTTTCAGATAGCTCACATCTTCAAAGGATGTCCTAAAAATATTCTGATAACATCTCTCTATGACTGCGTTCATATTCCCTACCCGGGTGCTCTAATACTAGAAATGCTATAGTATATATAAAGGTCGTTCTACATAAGTTGCAAGCCGATCACACAGACGCAATTCTTATTGCGACAGCCAATCAGAAGCATTAATGGTGCTATTGACGCTTCTGATTGGCTGTCGCAACAAGAGTTGCAATCGACTTGCAACTAATGTAGAACGACCTTTACACATACTGTAGTGTTTCTATTAAGAAAAAAAAAATATATATATATCATACGCAATTTAAATAAAGAAATTGTGAAACGGAAATATATATTTGTTCCTGCATTATTTGTCAGTTATATATATGTTTAAATGTACACATTAAAATATTTAAAGATTATAGAAATATCATACTAAAAAATACTGAAAAATTATTAGTGATTAAATATTACCAGTAATTCAGTAATTTTTTGGCCAGTACTTAATTTCTGGTGAATACTGATAATAAAATTACTGTTAAATATTGATAGTAATCAAATACTGAGAATTATTATGCAAAGGTGAAAAATGAGAATATCATAATGTTTACAAAAATATACTTATATTCCTAATTTTCTCATGTCTCGTAAACTATCCTTATAGAAATATCATACTAAGAATCATTGATAATTACTTATTATCCAGTATTTTTAATACTGAAAATAAGTAATTATCAATGATTCTTACTATGATATTTCTAGATATCGAAAGTTGTCGACACATTCCAAATTTTCATGAATCCTCCTGCGACAATTTCGATCCCAAGCGGTATACCGCTGGTTACCCATCTATGTCCTGACGTTTCATACAATAAACGTGTATTGCCAGGTAGCAAGGTGACGTCTAAAGACGTCATTAAAACGTCATAGACGTCTTAATAACGTCTTAATGACGTCTTTAGACGTCACTTTGCTACCTGGGTTTTCTATACAAAAATTCCGGTTTCATATTTACATACCTAGTACTTGTATTTTATTTATTTTTAAAACAAGCAAATATTTATTTAAACAGTTTTACGTTTAAAAACACTAATTTTCTCCTTGTAAAGAAATCACTTGTTTATTCTTATATATATAGATATTTTAAATCAAAGAAATCACTTTTTTTATTTATAAATTCATAATTTTACAGCTTATTTTACAAATTTAAAAAAATATTTCTTTATATTTATTATATATTTTCTAAAATTTAACAAATATTTTTTTAAGTTAA